TAATGTATCTCCAACGTACAAAAATGGGCAAACAATTCACTGAAAGATTAAAAGTACTACTGAAAAGAGAAATGTATAAAAATTAATGACTAACATGGTAAACAGAATAGAAAACATAAATACATACAATACAGATTATCTGTATGTTTTAGGACAAGAGTGATGTCATACAAGCAGCTGAAAATGGAAATTCTAAATAGAAAATTTAGACAGTGAATATTCACAATTTTGCATAATGGAGTCATCAATTTATTTTTCTCCCTGATGTGGCAGCAATTACTTGTGCACAGGCTATTTAAGACATTTAGTTCACGTCAGAGATGGATAAAACCATGATGTGGAGTCTGAGTCAATATAGTAAGATATATACAATGAATCTTGATGTGTTTATTAATTATTTTTGAATGAGGATTATAATATTTTAGACAAGGTACACTAGAATCAACATCATCAATGAATCATGAATAAATGATTTTATATCTGAGATTTATTCACGGACAATAACTGTTGTTGAACACATCGTTTGATCTTGACACAGTATTAAAAAGAAATAGTGAAAGTTAAGAATACAATCAAATCAAAGCATACTCTCTTTGTTTTTAAACAGCTTAATTTTAATGTAATTCGCCTATTAATATACCACCTATCACATAAATCTAACCCATTTCAAGCATGAGACATGTGTGTCTCATTTGACATATATATCTGCAAAGTGGACATAGAATAGCAGACCATTTTTCCACAATGAGATGTTCTGGGAAATATATAAGTTTATGAAATGAAAAACAAGATTAAGAAGCTTTTCTTTAAAGACCTTAATAATGCAGTCGAATTCCCTATGGTGTCCAGCAGATCCGGCAGCATATCTCATGAAACAGACAGCAGCTCAAACAGCTCAAACAGCTAGAGCCTATTGATCTCTTCCTTTTCTCTATACATTTATATTCTAAATATATATTTTATATACACATATATATATAATACTTTAAAAATGTCTAGGTAAAGATCAGAACTAAGATCAAACTATGTTTCAGACAGTTTATCTCAACTAGTTTATGCTTTTTAATGGATAAATCAACTATTTATAATTATCAATAGGACAAAGTGTCTATTATCTTTTTTTAACCTTATTTCACAGTCTTCTCTGCCAGTTCCTTTGCTTTGTGTCTTCTGCTATACAGACTATGTCTATATTATTTTTTTCCAAGCAGTTTTTGTTATCTCACTCAATACAAGTTTCATGATCAGTATCTTTGAATTGTAAAAATCACACTTTGAACTATATATTGTTACCAATATACAAAATTTTAAATATGTATTGACTCTTCTTCCTCTATGGTATATTCATAAACAGATTTTATTTCAGATAAGTTCTTCAAACAAGTTATGCTAGCTTTAATGAAGGCATTTACAAACAATACATTTAATCTTTCCTTGAACTAGCTTCCGTGTTCACCATTGGTTTTCCAACTGGTATGATCCTTATTTTGATTTACCGTCTCCCCAAAAAAATTTTTTGAGAGGAAGAAAGAGAGCAAAACAAATAGAGTTCCCATCTCCTGACACACTTCCCAAGCACCTTCAACAGCAGCGGCTGGAAACTAGGAACTCAATCTTCTATGCGGGTGGGCTGGGAAAGCAAGTACTTGAGTCATCACCTTTGCTTCCCAGGGTCTACACTGCCAGGAAGCTGGAGTTAAGCAAAACACAGGTACTCCAATGCGGGATGCATCACCGGGAAGTTGGATTTATTTAACTTTTAATCGTCTATCTAAGAAATGTTTACAGAAAGGATAATGGTAGAAAGTTTTCTCAGTCTTGTGTATCTCAGAAAGTATTTAACTCAAATACTTAGCTAACAGTATTGCTCCTCTCAGTCAGTCCTGGATTTAAAGTGGCCAACCTGATTTTTCATTGTTTATGGGAAATTCATTTTCTTCTGCATACACACAGCATTATTGCCTTATTTCTTGTTCTTAAAACTTTTTTTTTAAGATTTATTTTTATTATTTTTTTTTTATTGGAAAGGCAGATATACAGAGAGGAGAGAGAGAGAGGAAGATCTTCCATCCGATGATTCACTCCCCAGGTGAGCGCAACAGCCAATACTATGCCAATCCAAAGCTAGGAGACTCTTCCGGGCCTCCCACGTGGGTGCAGGGTCCCAAAGCCTTGGGCCATCCTTGACTGCTTTCCCGGGCCACAGGCAGGGAGCTGGATGGGAAGCGGGGCTGCCGGGATAGAACCGGCGCCCATATGGGATCCCAGGCGTGCAAGGCGAGGACCTTAACCACTGTGCCACCGCGCCGGGCCCCTTAAAAACTTTTTAAGAGACTTAAAGTTGACTTCAGCTCTTTTAAGTTTATAGTCCAGTCTTAAGCTCAGGGAAATTATTATGACCATCACCTTTAACACATGTCTCTGTTTCTCTATCATGGCAGTGTTGTCAGCAGAATCTCAACTTTTCCTTCATCCAACTGATTTTTTTTCACAATGTACTCTTGTTTCTTGGTCCTTCTAATGAAGTTTTTATTTATCATGCTTTTATTTCTTAATTTTTAAAAATTCTTCCATTTCCCCTTCAACTCCTGTTTCTCAACCATTGTTTCATTTCAGTCCATAATGGTATCTCACCTTGTTATATAACAATACTACCCCTTTACTTTCACAAAAATGTTTCAGCCCCTTGCTTTTTATTAAAGCAGAAAATGCTATCTAAAATTAACTTCTGTTCCCTGTAGTTAATTGTATTCAAAGTATGGTTTCACTCTGAAAGTAGAATGTTGCTTCTCTTTCATGTGGCAAAAACTTTTCCTCATTTGATCTGAAATTAGCTAATATCTGAGATCAGCTACAATACAGAGTTTGTTCATTATAAGTGTAACAGATGTTTCCTTACTATCCATCTGGTAGTTGTTTAACTAGAATTCTCACATAAAATATGAGAGGTTTAGCTGATCCAAATTTGCATTACAAATATGGTGATTTAGGCATAGAAACTTTTAAAAATATTTATTTATTTTTATTGCAAAGGCAGATTTACAGAAAGGAGGAGACATAGAGAGAGGTCTTCCATGTACTGGTTCATTCCCCAAGTGGATCCAATGGCTGGAACTGAGCTGATATGAAGCCAAGAGCCTCCTCTGGGTCTCCCACTTGGAAGTAGGGTCCCAAGGCTTTGAGCCATCCTCCACTGCTTTCCCAGACCATAAGAACAGTGAGATGGATGGGAAGTGGAGCTGCTGGGATACAAAATGGAGCCCATACGGGATCCTGAAGCTCGTAAGGGAAGGATTAGTTAATTGAGTCATCCGCCAGACCAGAAGTAGAAACTATCTGACAATTCCTCTTTTGAATGTTTGAAAGCAGAAGCCACATAACAAGGATTCCATATTCAGCTTTTGTCTAACCCAGTTATACCTAGAATTTTTCACAGCATTATATATTACTCATGGCAAGGAGGACACCCACTATACTGCATCCTTTCTCTCTGGTAAAGTCACTGCTTAGTCCCTCCAAATGTAGTTGCTTCAGAAACTGATTACTCCTCACAGTGAAATGGGTTCCAAGTGGGACACTGCCCATTACAAGGGTATCCATTATCAATTTCTGACTTCTCAGTCATCAAAATCTTTGGCATTCACTTTGGCATAATTTTAAAAAATTAAAGGTTAATTACCTTTTTAAATTTGAAAGGCAGATAGAGAGAAAGAGACAGAAATCTTCCATTTGCTGGTAATACTCATACCGAAGCCAGAGCCCAAAGCCAGGAATTCTCTCCAGGTCTCCTATGTAAGTGGCACAGACCCAAGGACCTGAGCCAGAACTGCCCCCTCCCAGAGTGCACATTGGTAGGAAGCTAGACTTGGAAGTGGGATCAGGACAATAGTCCCAGGAGATGGGATACAGGCATCCCAACAGGATTTAAGTTACTGTGCCAAATGCCTGGCTCTGGTGCAAATGTAAGCAGCTTTCCTTCATTAGTTTTTCAGAAATTCTTTCTGGAGCAGATAAGCAGATCATTATTATATGTATATTTGTAAAAAAAAAAAAAAACAAGTTTGTCACAATTAAATATTAGACTCTAAAATAAATAGCCTCTAAAAATAAAAGATGATTTATACAGTTTAACAGTGCCTAGAAATATCTTTTGAGCACCATTATGGCATTATATTAATAATGACATTCATATGACAAGTCTGAAGCAATACAAAATCCTAAAGAAAATGTTATAATTAATGCAGTGTACATTAACAGTATAGCTGAATACCCAGGAACGATAGTAAGTCACTCTACTTTACCAAACATCAGCCACAGTGGTATCTATTTCTAAGAGATCAAATAGATAAGCAAATAAACTTCACTTTCTATACATATGGTATCTCCTGGAATACATCCCAGGATTAGTAGTATGTTTTCCTCTTAGACACAATTAAAAAAAAAAGAAATGTACTGATTTTAATAAATTTATCTATTTTACTTGCTTGTTATTAATGATATTTAATAGACTGAAAGAAATAAAATATCATGTGAATAAGTTAACAAAAGAAACAACTAACAGTTTTCCATCAAAGTTGGAAAGGAAAACTTTTTCCTCAAAGTCCTCCTTTTTTAAGTGAAACTTCCAGGAGATGTTTTTCACAATTCTAGCTCTATGTAAATGTGATTTTTTTTTATTACTAGACATAATTTGTTTCTGTTCCTTTACATTCCCTCTCTCATTTGTAAAAAGGCCATTTGTAAAATGCCAATGAATTTGAAAAACCACAAAATAACTTCTTTGAATGGCTGAAAGTGGCATAAACAAACACAATGATCTGCTTTTTTGGTAGATAAAAAAAGAACATCTTATTAAAAGCATCAAATGCACATGAATTATTCCAATCACACTGTTGACCACAAATATGACCACAAATATGGACTTAATTGTACTGCCGTCTTAAAAATCCAAAATTCACTGAAAAACAAAGAAAACCAGCTGTGTTTTTTTTAAACTGTACCTGCTCATCTTTCTGTCTCCACTCCTGCCAGTTTTCTTCCCGTGACTCCTTTTGCGCTGGATTTGACAGTGAAAGCTCATGATGAGTGTTATATGTAGTATGGGAGGATTTCTGAGGAATTTTCTTAAAAGCAAGATTCCTGAGCTAAAAAACAGGCAAAAAGTATGTTAAATTCAGTTTGCTAATCCAAGTACTTTTGATTTTTAGAAAAAGGGGTAAATGAAGTATTTTCTTTTTACTTCAACACCTAAACACTCCTAACTCTAAGTTGCTATTTGTGCTTTTTACAGTCTGAGTATTGATTCTGCCAGCATATGAGGTGTTGGCTGAACTAAACATGATTCATTGAAAAGGGTTGTGCTATCACACACACAACTGTTTCAACAATTCATTTTGCTTTGCTGCTTTAGAGGTTTACAAGTAAAACAAGCAATGTTATGGAAATGCAAACAACACAGTAAGTTGTAAACAGTGAGACACTGCCTAAAGCCACACTGGCAACAATACTAGTCCTAAAAAAAAAAAAAAAATACAGGGCTTAGGGGCCAGTGTGGTGGCATAGTACACTAACTATCCCCTGTGCTGGCATCAGTATATATGCTAGCTGCTCCACTTCTGATCCACCTCCGTACTAATGGCCTGGAAAGGCAGCAGAGGATGGCCCAGAAACCTGCACCCACATGGGAGCCCTGAAGCTCCTGGATCCCAGCCTTGGACCAGCTCAGTTCTGGTCGTGGTGGCCATTTGGGGAGCAAAGAAGCAGCTGCAAGATCTTTCTCTGCTTCTCTCTGCCCTCTCTCTGTAATTCTGACTTACAAGTAAAAACTATTTTTTAAATACAGGGTTATAATCCAAGGTACAATAATATTCTAAAACAGTATGGGTCCTATCATTTCCACCAATAAGATACCTGAAACAAAACAAAGAGTGAGATTTTTATGGATTGAATTGTAACCCCTCTACAGATATGCTGAAGCCCTAATCCCAATTATCTGTGAACGTGACCTTATTTGCATACAGGGTCTCTGCAGATAAAATCAAGTTAAGATCATACCAAGTTAGAACAGCCCTTATGCAGTGTGACTGTATCTCAAAGATGCAAAGATCAAAAAAAATGTGATAGGGGGCAATGTTGTGACACAGCTGGTTAAGCTGCCACCTGTGATGCCTGCGTCCCATCTATGCACTAATTTGAGTCCTAGGTGCTCCAATTCCAATCCAGCTCCCTGCTAATGCGCCTTAGAAAACAGTGTAGGATGGCTCAAATCCACGGATCCTACATCAACGTGGGACACCAGGAAGAAGCTCCTGACTTCTGGCTTCAGTCTGATTCAACCCTGGCTACTGTGAGTCTTGGAGGAATGAACCAGTGGATGGAAGATCTGTCTCTTCCTCTCTCTCTCTCTGTAATTTTATCTTTTAAATGAATAAATCTTAAAAAAAAAATGCCATATACCAACACAGCACAGACTGTTGTGATGAGGCCACAAATTAAGGAAGGCAAAGGACAGAGGCCACCAGTCAGAGCCAGAAAGAGATGGTAAAGAGAGAGAGAAGAGAATGGCTTTTCAACACTCTGACTCGGGGTTAGGGCTTCAGCATATCTGTAGAGCGGATACAATTCAATCCACAAAGCAGGACATAAACATATAAGTAAACAACAAGATGATTAAACACAATGCAGAGATATATTTACTGCTATATAAAATTGCCATCTCTAAATTTTGAAAAAACACTTATAAAAGATTACTATCCATTTATAAACAAACTATGAATACAGATATATGTGTAGAAAATATAACCAAAATATTAATTTTAAACGTTTATTTGTTTTTATTGCAAAGTCAGATGTACAGAGAGAAGAAGAGACAAACATCTTCCATCCACTGATTCACTTCCCAAGCGGCTACGAAGGCCACAGCTGAACCAATCAAAAGCCAGGAGCCTCTTCTGGGTCTCCCACATGAGTGCAGGGTCCCAAGGCTTTGGGCTGTTCTCCACTGTTTTCCCTGACCATAAGCAGGGAGCGGATGGGAAGCGGGGCTAACGGGATATGAACCGGCACCCATATGGGATCCCGGTGCTTGTAAGGCTGAGGACTTTAGCCACTAGGCTACCGCATCAGTTCCCAAAGTATTAATTTCTTATATCTCTAGATCTATATACAAATGACTTTTAGTTTCTTCTAAGATGTTCCCATTTTAAATTTCATGAACTAAACACTAAGCTTCCAATCAGGAAAAAAATAAAGCATTTGAAAAACATTCATGGTGGGCCTGGCATGACAGGGAAACAGTTAAAGTCCTGGCCTTGAACGCGTCAGGATCCCATGTGGGCCTTGGTTCTAATCCCGACAGCCCCACTTCCCATCCAGCTCCCTGCCTGTGGCCTGGGAAAGCAGTCGAGGACGGACCAAAGCCTTGGGACCCTGCACCTGCATGGGAGACCCAGAAGAAGCTCCTGGATCCTGGCTTCAGACTGGTTCAGCTCTAGTCATTGCGGCCACTTGGGGAGTGAACCATTGGATGGAAGATCTTCCTCTCTGTCTCTCCTCCTCTTTGTATATCTGCCTTTCCAATAAAAAAAAAAAAATCAGTTTTTAAAAATTCATGGCATTTGCCTTTAATTATACACACACTTACATGCATTCATTAGGTAATATTTACTGAGTACCCATGAAGCAGGTACTATGAATACGTGAGTGAACAAGACAGTACCTGTAATCAGCGTCTACTTGGAAAGCCAGCAACACAAATAACTGCCATTGTTACCTCATTTGCTTCACTCTGTTGCTGTTCCTTCTTCTTCCTTCTCTTCTCTCTCTTTTTCTCATTTGTAGTTGATTTGTTTCCCAAAGCTTGAGACTTCCCAGAATTCCGGCCTTTGCCTTTTCCAGGCTCCGAATCAGAACCACTGCCACTATCTACTTGCAACAAGGCGAAGCGAGAAGCAGTGGTGGGAACAGAACTAAGTACTGCTGAGGCCATTATCAAGAGTTTTCTTTTTAAAATGCTTCTGTCAAAAATAATTATTTCTGTGGAGAGAGAAAAAAGGAGGCACATGGGTAAACAAGAATAGGAAAAGGTTTTAGAATCCAGAACTATACACACACACATACTACAATTCGACATCATATTTAGTAACAATTACAATTCAAATACACATAGTCCTATTGGCAATATCTTTTAAAAATTATTTGTTTTTATTGGAAAGACAGATTTACAAAGAGGAGAGACCAAGAGAAAGATCTTCTACCCACTGGTTCACTCCCCAAGTGGCTGCAATGGATAGAGCTGGGGCAATCCAAATCTAGGAGCCAGGAGCTTCTGCTGGGTCTCCCACATGGGTGCAAGGTCCCAAGGCTTTGGGCCATCCTCGACTGCTTTCCCAGGCCACAAGCAGGGAGCTGGATGGGAAGTGGAGCTGCCGGGATTAGAATCGCCACCCATATGGGATCCTAGCGCGTTCAATGCGAAAACTTTAGCTGCTAGGCCACTCCGCTGGGCCCAGGAGTATCTTTGAGATTTAAGTCAGAGTTATATATGGAGAGAGACAAATAGAACCAGTGCTTCCTCTGCTGGTTCACTCCCCAACGGTACAATGACAGGACTGGGCCAGGCTGAAGCTAGGAGCTTTTTCCAGGTCTTCCACATGGGTAGCAGGCACACAAGCACTCGGACGAACTCTGGCTGCTTATCCCAGGCCACTAGTAGAGAGCTGGATTAGAAGTGCAAGAACCAGGCCCAGCGTGATAGCATATTCTTTACGGGATCCCATATGGGCACCGGTTCTAATCCTGGCTGCCCCGCTTTCCATCCAGCTCCCTGCTTGTGGCCTGGGAAAGCAGTCGAGAATGGCCCAAAGTCTTGGGACCCTGCACCCACATGGGAGACCTGGAGGAAGCTCCTGGCTTTGGACTTGCGCACATCCAGTCTTTGCAGTCACTTTGAGAGTAAATCATCAGACAGGAGATCTTCCTCTCTGTCTCTCCTTCTCTCCATATATCTGCCTTTCCAATGAAAATAAATAAAATCTTAAAAAAAAAATATGTGGAAGAGCCAAAACACGAACTGATACTTATGTAGGATGCTGGCATCATAGGTGTTAGTTTTATTCAGTACACAACAATACCAGTCCAACAATATAAATTTAAAAATTTTATTTTTGGGCCTGGCACAATAACCTAGTGGCTGGATCCTTGCCTTGTATCAGCTGGAATATCTTGTGGGCACTTGTTCATGTCCCTACTGCTCTACTTCCTATCCAGCTCCCTGTTTGTGGCCTGTGAAAGCAGTGGAGGGCGACCAAAGCTTTGGGAACCCTGCACCTGCATGGGAATCTCGGAAGACACTCCTGGCTCCTGGCTTCAGACTGCTTCAGCTCTTGTTGTTGCAGCCACTTAGGAAATCAATCAGCAGCTGGAGCATCTTTCTGTTTCTCTGTCTCTGTAAATATGCCTTTCCAATAGAAATATACCTACTGGTACACTCCCTACATGTGTACTTGGCGGGGACCCAGGGCTAGGTCAAAGCCAGGAGCCTCAGATCCCTACGCAGGCAGCAAGGACCACTTGCCTGACAATGACCTGCTGCCACCAAGGGTCAGCATCAGCTAGGACTAGAACCCAAGTATTCCAGTACGGCACATGGTACCTAGCTGCTGAGCCAAAAGCTCAACCTGGAAGAACATTCTTATCATATACAAACTGCTACCACTTAAGTTCAATTTTAGAGACTATGATTTAGAAATAACAGCAGGTTGTAGCATAACACATTAAATTGCTGCCTGTGATGCTGGCATCTCCAAAGAACGCCAGTTGGAGGCCCAGCTGCTCTACTTTCAATCCAGTTCCTTGCTAATGTGCTAGGACAACAGTGGAAGATGGCCCAAGTGCTTGGCTCCTAACACCCACACAAGGGACTTGGATGGAGTTCCTGGCTCCTGAACCAACACCATCTGGGGAGTAAATCAGTGGATGGACAATCTCTCTCCTTCTAACTCTGCTTTTCAAATAAGATAAATCTTTTTTTTTCTTTCAAGTGACAGTGAACAGCTTATATTCTATCAACTATGGAAAAGATCAGAGCTATGGATCTTCCTTATTAGCTTCTAGTTCACTAGTTTCTGAGATCCTTACCATTCCAAGCATAGGTGAGTGCGGTTTCATTTAGCGTTGCTATCTTTACAAAAACAGTTTACACTTAAAATGGATCTTAAGGTGCTATAGTAACTGTGTTTTGCTTCTTTGAAAGTTCTATTATTTCTTTGAAGAGCAGTGTTACAGAAAGAGACAGAGGGAAATCTCTCATCTGTTGATTCACTCCTTAAATGCCACAACAGCCAGCACCAGGCCAGGCCAGTCAGGAGCTTCACCTGGGTCTCCTGTGTGGGTGCAACAACTTGCACCCCCTTCTGCTGTATTCCCTAACGCATCACTAGAAAGCTGGATCCAAAGTGGAACAAGGGATTCAAACCAGAACCCAGTGTCACATGTGACAGCTTAGCCCACTGCACCGCAGCATGAACCCCTCTAGTACTTTTTTTTTCACAAGTTTCAGACTTTTGCTAACGTAAAGCCAACAGCTTTTACACATTCCATATGTGCATGAAAGAGGAAAATCACACTTCCCTCACTTCCAAAACCTTCTCTTTCCTTTCCTCTCTTCTACAGTATTTGCAACTGTATTCAGACTTAATTTGTCACTAATCATATTCAACAAGTAAAAAGAACACAAGATCACATATTCACTGAGTATAAGTAGTATAAAAATGACAATCTCATCCTAAAGTTGACCATTTCATTCCTACACTTTATTATGTGTTCTACATTAGCAGCCACATACCAGAGAAAACATGCATTTGTCTTTTTCAGACTGACTTATCTGGCTGTAACGGTTTCCAGTTGCATCCATTTTGTTGCAGAAAACTGGGCTTTCCTTATTTTTTATGGCAGAGTAGCATTCCATAGAGTATATACACATCTTTATCTAGTCATCCACTGATGGGCATCTGGATTGATCTCACATCTTGTTTTTTCATTTAACTTTTTTAAATGTGAGGGAATTATAGATCCATGTGGACCACCAGTTGGGTTGAAGGACAAACATTCACTACGCAACGGCCACAATGGCCAGAGCTGAGCTAATCTAAGGTCAGGAGCTTCCTCTGGGTCTCTCAAGCGGGTGCAGGGTCCCAAGGGTTTGGGCCGTCCTCCTCTGCTTTCCTCAGGCCACAAGCAGGGAGCTGGATGGGAAGCGGAGCAATCAGGACACCAACCAGCCTCCACATGGGATTCCCCTGCTTTAAGGGTTGGGGAGGGAATTAGTCAATTGAGCCATTGCACCAGCTCAAACAATTTCTAATCCACACTGTTTAGTACTTCAGATGATGTAACTGGAATTTTAACTAGTCAAGTAACTTCCCTAAGGTCATTATAAAGGTTAGGGTAGTCAGGATTAGAAACTGTGTTTGCTGAAGCCTATTCTGTAACCTTACACTACTAGAAGAGAAAGTATTGTTCCAATTTAGGATACAGGTTTTCTTCCTAGATTTTGAAAATTCAAAATTTTGTTTTAAAATATATTAGACCGGTCAGATCGGGCAGGGCCAAGCAAACTTCAACTCACAAAAAAGAATAGAAATCAGGATGGAGCACATGTCATTCCGACCAAGGCTCTTACACTAACTGGTCACCATGAGGCAGGGATACTCTGCCACAACACTAAAGGCAAAGGCTGAAACAGGTGAGGGGCTGGGCCAACTGGGTCAGAGCAACCACTGGCATGCACACAATCTAGGGCTGGGAATAGACTCGGTTGGGGAGCTGTGAGAGTACACACTTACTGGGTTGGGATTCCCACAGGAAAGTGCAGGGGCTGTAGTTGGGGCTGCACTCTGGTCTGGATACAGCTGCAATCTCCCTTGGCACAAGCGTGGACTGGGGCTAGGTGCACCAAGCTGGGCTAGACGCCAGCACCATCTGGTGCCCTGGAGAACCCAGGTAGATGTAGGATGCACTAGGTTGGGTCTCTGCCCCTACTGAGCCATGTGTGAGCAGTGTCTGGGTATGGACAAGCCTTGGCTGCAGTGAAACATCCAACACCAAGAACTGGAATGAACTGAAGGCCAGCACCTCCCTTGTGGGTTACCACTTCCACTGGAGAGCACAAAAACTAGGACAGGGGCAGGGGTGACTAGACAGAACGGCCCCTGCCAGTAGGTGTATGGGCTGGATAGTAGGTTGGTTGGGTTGAACTAGGCTTCAATGCCCACTGACACGTACGAGAGTTAAATGGTATGTGGGACAACTGAACAAGCCTGCGATACATACTGGCATGCATGGAACCAGGGTAGGGAGCAGGCCTGGTGGGGGTTTTGGGGAGTGGCCCCAACTAAGTTGCAGCTCCGACTGGTTTGCATGAGGACTGAGTATGAAGTGGGTAGGATCGAGCTGGACTACAACACTCACTGGTTCAAGTGGAAGACAGGGCTGGAAACAGAACTGACCCAGCAATTGCAACAACCAGCATGTGCATAAGCTTATTAGTGCGACGGACTGTCCCGGACCCTGTACTGGCAAACTTATACAAGAATCGGGTTGGGTCCCGGCGGCGTAGCCTAGCAGCTAAAGTCCTCGCTTTGAATGCCCCGGGATCCCATATGGGGACCAGTTCTAATCCCGGCAGCTCCACTTCCTATCCAGCTCCCTGCTTGTGGCCTGGGACAGCAGTTGAGGATGGCCCAAAGCCTTGGGACCCTGCACCCACGTGGGAGACCTGGAAGAAGTTCCTGGCTCCTGGCTTTGGATCAGCATAGCATTGGCCGTTGCGCACGCGTGGGGAGTGAATCATTGGATGGAAGATTTTCCTCTCTGTCTCTCCTCCTCTCTGTATATCTGACTTTCCAATAAATAAATAAATTTTTACAAAAGAAAAAAGAATCAGGTTTGGGATAATGTCACATGAAGTTTCTCTGGAGATCCCTCCAACTGAACTGCTGATCTCAGAACTCCAACCATGAAGAAACTTTGTCAGC